TCAGCCAGGGAACACAGGGCAGGGCATAGAAAGCAGAGCAGCCAAATAGGCAGGGGAGGGAGATCATAGGCTGTTTCTAGAATCTACTGTTATTGTTGCTATTATTATTAGTGTTATGATTGTTATTTTGGTAAATGAGAATAATAATTGGTACTTCTCGGTGCTGGGGGGAGGGGGTGGAGATACACCTGGCTCTGCTGCTGTCCATGGCAAGTTATGTGCCTGTTTGAGGAGAAATCAAGTTATTGGTATCCTGGGGGGAGCGATAGACTTTAGAGCATGTTTTGTAATGCATATCTGCGAGTCCTAGCACAGCAGTGGCCACTTCAGCACAGAAACATCCCTGTGTCCCTCTTCCCCCTCCCCTCCCCTCCCCCCCTCAAAAAAAAAATCCTTCAATCCAAACAGCTCCCAGAGGGAGCTGACTCCAAGCTGGGGATGGATGGCCCGACTGTAGGGAGATGTAGGGAAGGGGGGAGGACCCTTTTGCTGCCTACAGCAGTGCAGTGAAATGGAGTGTACATTGCAGAAGCCAGTACCAGGACAGCTTGAGGTGTGCACCCACCAGAGACCAGGGCTGCACCCCAGAGGCAGCTGCATCTCAGTGGTGAGTGAAATGTTCCTGTACAAGTCCATTCCCTCCCCAGCCTTCCCCTAACTGAGTATCCATCATCCCCTTCATATTCTCAGAACTACCCTGTACCCCTGGAAGAAGCTGGAGAGGAACCACAAGAGATTACAAAGGTAAATATAATCAACTCTAGATTAGCCTTCAGGGCACCTGTGTTCCCTGCCTCAATTTCCCCAGCTATAAAGTGAAGATGGAGAGGGAGGAAAAGCCTCCACAAATTCTTTCTACGAGGAGTTTTTAGGATCATTTTTTCAAATAGGCATGATTGTCTAGGCTAGTTCAGGCCTCCTTTGAGGTGGGGGTTGGAAGCTGTGTCCTTCTGAGGACCCTGCTAGCCTGACTTTCCTGTGATTGATTGTCTACTTCTGTTGGGCAGATCATTCATAATGCCTTCTTTTATGGTTGTTAGACCAACACAAGAAATAATAAATAGTCCTTAAGAGCTAATAAATAAAGAACAAACTTGTGAAATAAGGCTTCTTCAAGGACCCCAAGGTAAATGCTTAGTAAATGATAGTAAACAAAGGTTTCTTATATTATTAAATTCTAATAAACTGTTGTTCCTTATAGACTACTTCTTATTAAATGCTAAACCGGCAGCATCCCTTATATTTATTACATTCTAATAAACATTTGCTCCTTATACATTATTCCTTAAATGCTAAACAGTTGATTCTTATTATACATCTTATTACATGCTTGTTTCTTGTAGATTATTCCTTATTAAATGCCAAACAGATGTCCTTCATATGCCTTATTAAATTCCAACAAACAATTTTTTATTGGTATTTAAGAAAGGAATCCTTTAACTTCAGCCTGTTGAACAAGCCCTTATTTTACAAGTTCACGATTGAATGACCATTCTACCTCTAGACTTCTTGGTTTTTAAAAACATGCTAACCTACCCTTATTGCTGCCATACAAGCTTTAACTTGCTGCAGTGGTTTCAGCCTATATTTTTTATCATTACTTGAACATTGTTATTGTTGGAGATGATGTATTTTATTGGTATATGTAACTTGTTTTTTTTGCTTTTTAAACTACTTAGTGATTTAAGCAGGTTTTGTTTTGCTTTTTAAACTGGTCCCTTTTGCATGATAAGGGACAGCTAGATTTGTTTCCAAAATGTAGTCTCCTCTTCTCAAATGTGGCCCTCCCCCACTTTCTATATTACAATCAAAACTCCCTCCCCGCTTAACCCAATCCAGAGAAATGTTTCCTTCAACCCCCCCCCCCCCCCCAAAAAAAAAAAAGCAAATTTTTCCCCAGTAATTTTACATTTTAGCCCCAAGTATTTCATGCTGGCCCAGCTCTTTTGTTGGCCCCCTGTGGCTGTATGCATGGGTTAGGGAGGAGGGGGGTGGGAAATTGCGCTCCCACTCAGCCTAGTCCCAAATCCCCTGAAAATCTGATCACTTTATTTTCCATTTACAAAATGGGAGGTTGGGAGTGGCTAAATTTCCTCTTGCAGGCCCAGCCTCTCAGCCTGACCCAGTGTCTCTGTGAGCAGAGGAGTGGGGGTGGGAGGAAACAGCTGGAGGGGAAGCTGTGTCTGGGTGTGATGGGGGCAGACCCCATGAATGCAGTCACTGCTTGCTGGTACCACTGGAAACTCCTATCTTCACAGGCCCCAACACCACTCCTGCCCCCCTTGAAAGCACTTCAGGCCCCACTGTTGTCCACCCTCCCATATCTCAGTTCCCTTCTGTTCCCCTCCCAGTAGTATCTCCCCCAGTACAGGAGAACAGACATGTTTTATACTGAACCCTTTTTTATTGGAGTCATGCTGGTAGGTGCGTGGACAGACAGACAACCACCCACTCAGCCAGCAGGCAGGCCCCCTTGGGTGGGGCAGTAGGGATTGCGGGGCTCAGAGGGGGGCCCCCTGGGCTCAGCTGCTGCTGCCCTCCAGGCTGTGCTTGTCGAAGAGGTACTCGCCCAGTCCCCCCTGGGGACCCAGGCGGCGCAGGTTGGTGATATAGTCGCCCAGCTTCTTGATGGCTTTCACTTGCTCGTCCAGGTAGTGGGACTCCAGCAGGTCACAGAGCTGTGGGCAGAAAATGGGGGTAAGATGTGGAGCCTAAAAATCAGGTGCTGGGGCATGTATGGGTCCTGTGCCCCTCTGGAGTGCTGGGGGGACACAACCTTAGCATGGTAGGGATAGGGTCTGTGCTGCCCCTGTGGGTTGAAGGGAGGAATGGGAGGGTCCCTGGCAGGGTGTGTGGGGTGGAAGACACATCACTCCAGGGTTGGGGGGAGGTGAGGTCTCCAGGGGTGTCACACATGGAGGAGGTGGGGCACCACTCACATGGGGGTCAGCCTTCTCGGAGGCCAGTCGGTGCAGGTCCAGCAGGGCCTGGTTGACAGTCTTCTCCAGCTGCAGCGCAGCCTCCATGGCCTCCAGTGTGGAGCCCCAAGCATCTCGCTCTGGCTTCTGGTGGGAGGAGGGGGAAAAATAGAGAAGGGCAGGGCAGACAGATGCTCCTGGCACCTCCCCAGTGTTGCACCCCCTTTGCTGCCCCCTGCTACCCCCACAACCCCACCCCATGCTGGCCCTTGCCTCCTGTAGACCACCATACACCCCCCACCACCACCATACACACACTCCTTGTACCCCCAGCTATGTGGGGATCCATGACCTCACTGCCTCCCCAATGCCTGCCCCCCCGCGCATGTCCCCAGCCCCACTGACCTTGATGTCCTGGAGCAGGACGCGGCCTCCACGCTGGTTCTGGAAGCGCAGCAGGCGCTCGGCGTGCTCCCGCTCCTCATGTGACTGCTCCAGGAAGAAGTGGGCCACATGCTGTAGTGCCACATCGTCACGGTCAAAGTAGTATGACTGCAGGGGTGGAATGGACGGACAGGGTCAGGCCCTACCTCGGTTTCCCTAGCCTCTGCGTGTTTGCGTGTGTGTTGATGCGTGTCCACCAGCCCTGCCTCAGTTTCACCAGCCCATGTGCATGTCTACCAGCTTGCCTGTTTCCCTGGAGTGCATGCGTGTCCATCCTCTAGCCCTGCCTCAGTTCCCTCAGTTTATGTGCGCATCCCAGTCCTGCCCCAGTTTCCCGTGGAGGGGGTGTGTGCAGGAGGGTTTCCTCCCCACAAGTTCCTTCCCCACTGCCCCCCCACAGGTAGAGGCCTCCTCAGTCACTATGGAAAAGAGCTGCTCACCTGTCCCCCTAGGCCCCCACATATCCCTAGACCCCCAGTCCAAGAATCAGCTTCCTGCCAGAGCCTGTGACCCCTTGATCTGCACCCCCTCCCAGATCTGATACACTGACCCCTCACCTCAGGCCCCAGCCAACCCCTGCACCCCCCACAACACCCAGGACAGAGAATCCCCTCCCCCCCAGGCAGCTGGATAGACATGGGCATATAGGACAGAAGGCACCCAACCACCAGAGGGAAGACCTCTGGGTGGGAGTAGGGGGCTTAGGAGGGCAGGGAAGGTCCCAGCTGTGTGTGTGTTAGGGGCAGTTTGTGTGTGTGTGCCCAGCAGGGTTATCTGTACCTGCCAGGCATAGCCTGCCCCACCCTCTCCACAGCCACCAGTGCCAGGCCAGGGGGAGGGTACTGCAGCCAGGGATACCCTGATGTGGAGCTTGTAGGGAAGCATTTGTAGAGGCAGTCCAGGGGGCACTGGATCCAGCAGCACTGGGGGGTGGGGGGCACATGGCTGGGGAAGGGGAATCGGTCTCACAGTGAAGGTGCAGGAAGGGGTACAGGGGAGATCTCAAGGTGCCAGTTGGGGGGCAGAATCTGGGAAGGCAGCAGGGAGATCTGTGGCGGGGAGCTGGAGGCTCAGGGATGATCTCAAGGGGGTAATGGGGGGATTTGGGGGCTCTTGGGGG